TTATTTCATTTATTATTTTAAACAGTTCTTCATTATGAGATATATAAAATGCAATTAATAAAAAACTGCATATTTTTTCTTTTGTTACTTGAAATAAAGTTTTGTTTTGAATTAAGTGTCAAAACTGTAACATTTACATACCTCTTTATTGCTTACAACTTTCAACCAAATTCAGTAATGACCTCTATAAAAAGAACACTAGTATTGTATGAACATATTCTGCACCGGTAAGCATAATGAAAGACATTAAGAATGATGATGAACGCGTTTTCATGCAGTTTTTCGTCATTTCAGAATGCGTTCTTGAACCGTTTACCTCGATTTGTATATTGAATCTACTAATTTTATGTATATTAATGAAAACTTGACATTCAGTTGAATACTATTCATGAGAACAATAAATAACTAAATCGATTGAGAACAATACTCAAGTCTCGTTTCGCACCGAATAAGTATTATTTTAAAATATAATTAATGTTGGCATTTGCTGAATAATGGGCGGTCTCTTCTGAGTTAAACGATTCTTCATTTGATATCAGATAGCTGACATACAACAGTCGCATTAAATAGTGTTTTCCAAAATCATTGATGTAATAAATAGCACTTTACTATATATGCCTACTGTAGAAAATAGAAAAATTAGATAAGTATTGTTCTACAATGTAATGGGTAAAAGATATATCTTTCTTATACCTATTTAACACAGCATGTGATAAAATTTAAGCTTATTGGTATAGCATGAATTTCACTAGAATATTCGTTATGCTTTTTGGTAATACATTACACTGCATTAATTCAAAGGAATGCTAAAATATTAGAATCTAACAGGATATAGACGTGTTTAAATTCATCATATATTTAAAAACAGCTGTATTGGTGATATATCTATTTATGCCGAAACCAATACAGAAGTTCGTTTACACTAATTCTTGCATGTAGACTATAGATGATAAAATCAAGATATTACGAACCGCAGTTGATTCTTTAAAAAGCATATTTCATTTTGATTGTTGCATGATATCTATGCAAAAAGTTATTACTTCGGGTTTTATGATTGGAAAATTGAAATAGTAAAAAGTCGTACGACTTGAAATCATAGCTACCTCAGTATTACTATTTCTATAAACGATGACATGCTGATAACCTGTCTAACTTTTTGGCAGCTTCTTATATATTGCTGCTGGATATCTTGTACAAACTTATTCTTAATTTTTCTGATTAATATTATTATGATGCATTGTAAGCATATTTTCGTTCAGTTTCATAATAAATGCTTTGTTCTTCCAGTACCCTTCATACTTTCAAGTAAATTTAGCAAAGAAAAGGTTCTAGAACAAAAGACACTAATGTTACAATCTAAATAATTTTTATTGAAAAATATTTTGTATTCAATAAGCCAGGGATAGAGTAAAGTATAATTAGGTAAAATTAAGGTTGAATTAACATTTCTAGCATTGTCTGATAGATCTTCTATTGGCATCATAGTTTCGAAATTTTGACTAAACTTGTGAACATATCATAAGCAACGTGAAAAGCAGGAAAGAACTGAATGGCAGAAGATGAAAAATGAAGTATGGTATTGCTAAACACTAGATAGAAGTATGTATATTAATAATTAATGAATTTAGAACGTGACCCGACATGGATTCACATTATCGTCAGGAAATCAGAATGCAATTTGTAAGATATTATTATCAACGAATATATAAGTATGTTTGTCAATCATAAGTGTTTTGTATATTCAAAATGTATTTCCTTCATCTAACCTCTATGTGTATTCACATGCGTCTTAGTTCAACGACATCTATTAAAAGGCACAGGAAAAATTTTGCACTCCTCAATAGTATTTTATTTCTTGAAGATGTTCTATGTATATGCACTCTGAAGATCTGAAATAAAATGATATTAATTAATAATCCATACACAGTGTTCTTTCTTCAAGTTTTTGACAGTTGTGATCAAGAAAAGAATGTTTTTTGTATAGATATTTTGGGTTTCAGAATAACTTTGCCTTGAGAAAGTTTTTCATAATTCACTGGATCTTTATACATGTTCGTTAATAAGAAAATTCAAACTCTATATCGCACAATAACCTTGTAGAAAATGAAATTGAAAGAGAAGCACCAATCTGAGTATTATACTTTTTTATTCTTATTCTTAGCTGATTGAAAATCTGAGCAGGACTTCAAAGAAAACATAACAAGAATCCTTTTTCATCATGAAATATCCTGAAAATTAGAGTTACTAGAATTCGAAGCAGGATTCTGAAAGATGCTTTCAGACTGTCTAAATGTATGAAGAGGATTCAGACTAAACTAGTAGATTACCGTAAGTTTTGACAGTGTTTAGTCAACGGGGAAAAATGGTTCCTGATGAATTTCTGTATTGTAATCAATTGTAGAATACATTTATCGAAATATGCCAAAAGCTGTCAGAACTTACAGTGATCGGCTATAATTCAACAAAATCCATTACAATCTATTGAAATTAATCAGAATGCAGCGCTAACCACTAGACTTAACAATACTATGAAATCAATAGACGACAAGTGAGTCCTCCTGATGCTGAAAACATACAGAGTTCACTATGAAATGAAAAAAATTTACTAAGGCATATAGAACTTGTATCTACTGAAACTCTTTAATGCAATGGTTGTTGCTATCAGCTACGTACAAGTTTCTTTGTCAATTAAATGATAAATCACATAGAACACAAAATCGATTTCCTCCAAGACCTTGACACTGTGCACCAATAATAATACTGCTTGATGTTTCATCTCTAAACCAACGTGTTTCTCGTAAATTGATGTGTTCAAGAATACAAGCCGTATTCATTCGATCGACAACAACAGACTAGAGTCTATATAATAGACTAACACTATTAACAGAACTACTTTAACGAGCAATAACAATTCTTTGATTTGTACCTACTGTCGATTTGATAATACGATTAGGAGTCATCTATCGGGGATGTCCCAGTAAGGGAGGGAAGAGAGTCAAATATTTGTGGAAGTTCAGACGTTTATCATAAACATTTGCCTTTTTTCCTTTGCACACACCTGTTCAAGGATTTGTTGAAGCTTATTTCGTTTTGAAAAGTAGCCTTAGGTAGGAAATCAACTGAATCAATAAGTTGAACATGAATATTGTTTCTAAATAACTGAAAATTATGTTTTATGAGCACAATAGTGGTTTTCTGGAGCACTAATATGAATGTTGTTAGATTTCTGACTGGGGGTTAAGGTAAGATACATCCACAGGAACATCTTACAGTCCACCAACCACATCCACACTGTTTTTCTGAAGTTTTTTTTACTGGACGTCCATGAAAGAGGAGAATTCAGAAAATACGACTTTTACTTGTAGATCATTAATGTATGATCTCATACTGCCTTTATCAGCAATAACAATCAATTAATCTCAATGCACCAATGTATGTTTAGAATGTAACGGTGTTGATTTAAAGCATCGCCTTTTTCATTACCATCTGCAAAAATTTGATTCCGAAGCCATTAAATAACTTGATATCCTTCCATATCGCACATATACAAAGATTCTTGGTTATCCAGAGCTAATCTTCAACAAGTTATGTTGTTCATTATTGTTTCTGATTGATTAGCATTCTTGGGCCAACGTTGTACACGTTTGTTAGTACGATTACAAATGAGCATTGTTCCATGTTAATCTATAACAACGACCTCTGACAATGCATTAAATTGATCATTGTTATCATCGGGTCTTTTACCACCAGCAAACAATTCACCATTCGAAGTATTGGGCATACATTTGACGAAACGATGATTATCTCTGTACGCAATAAAGGTAGCACCATCATCATTAACAAATAATCCTTCAGGATACACCAGTTGATTCCATGCAGACCCTTGTCCGATTCCGCCAGTATATGATAGAAATATAAAATAATTACGTCTTCTACATAGAGTCTTTATGATATTATCATTAACAAATATCTTAAAAAAATCGAATAAACGTCGAAAGATTTATTTGAGTTTTGTTAATTTAAACAATGGATAAGCACTTTTAATTGATTTCTTTATGTTTGGCGCTGCTCTGTTTCTTACCTTTATTTATCCATGGTCTCACACTCTACACAATCATCAAGGCGTTCTATTCGACTCAATGTTTACTATTTAACACCTTACCGTTCACTTCATACTATATTCAATTTAGTAACATTAGGTTTATTCACTCCTTATCATTCAGCTATTGAAATAGAAGGTTATGAATATGCTTATTATGGTCACCCATTTCAATTTAGTGGTATTATGTCTGGTGCACCGAATAAAGTTGCTATGATGTTAGCTTATAGTAAAATCTATGGACATACATTATTATCTAATATGGATATTGAGGCAAAATTACATGAACTAGCTTTTATGGGTGTGGATTATAAATTATTGCATTTCAATTGTAATACATTTGCTGACGCGTTTCTCTATGCACTAACTAAACATCATTTACCACGTTGGATTACTCGACCAGAACGTTGTCTTAGACGAATAAATTGTATGCATCGATTCTTCAATGGCAATGATGATATTGGTGACAGAATTGTTAGTGCATTATATATCAAATCTGCCGGTGATCAAACAGCTGTTTTCAAGCTATTAGGAATTGGTATATAATTTCTTCATATCTGTATTATTGATAGAAAATACACATAGAATAACATGTTTAATTTTAAGAAAATAATAGCATACATTATTTCTAATTATAAATTTTAAATTGTAGTAAATGATCAACGCTTAACCACTTTTTATGAAGTAATGCTTCAAGATTATATATGTCGTGGAAAAATTCCTGATTTTGAACGTTTACATCAATTATCTGATCTTCAAATCAAAGATCATCTATCACATATTCATAATAATTTTTTTTCAACATTTCCAACGAAAAACTCGATTACTTTAAATAAAATATTTGATAATTTAGCTTCTCTTCAACGACAATTAAGTCGATTTGAAAAAAGATTAAAAATTTCTTCAATTGTTGATTTGAATAATAAAATCTCAAATGAATAAAACTACACATGTCTTCTGTTAATAAATACTATAGTTTCATGTACTATTTAAAATAGATCTAAAAATTGAAAATGTATAATTCTTATAATTTATATATTAAAAACCTATTGAAAAAGTTCTAGCGAATCTTTCTACAAGCGCTATAATCGTAGCGTCATTGATGTAAACATTAATATTTTTCTTCTATTTAATATGTAAAAAGAAGGTTGTTACTAGGAAACGAAATTTGAAAATGGAATTTTTATTAGATGTATATATCTCGTCATTAACATAGACGAAACCAGCTAATTCATTCGAATAATGCTGCATACAGCTGCTGTTATTGTTTGCACGATTTTATTTAATATAATCGAGCAAGAAATTCGATCTTGAGAGTGACGAAGACTATAAAAATGAACAGAAGAGAAAAGAGAGAGCTAGAAGGAAAAAGGGAGAAAAAAAAGAAATTCTTGTCAAATACTATATAGTATACATTGATTGTCCGGACATACTTGACAAGTGTGCATTTTTTTCTTTATAACTATTGTAGTTTGTTTTAAACTCTTCAAATCACTTAAATTTATCATGATTAATATATATCAATGAAGGTTACTATTAGAGTAAGTTTGATTAGAAAATATATTTTTTTTTAACCTTGTTTTAATTATGAAATTTAATTTTTTCCAATTCTAGGCGCCACTGAATAGAAACAATCATAGTGAAGAAAGAAGTGATTATGCAAATTTTAGTCATACAAGAATAAGTAAGAATATTTTTCGTTAATTATGCAGAACTATTTGATTAAATTTTCACTATGAAATTTTTTAACCGTAATCTTTCTCAATGAAGCTATATAAATGATATTAGCTTGTTGATTGAATTCTCACTATTGTATGTCAATAAAATTGATAGTACTAGTAAAATTAAATTATATATGGATTTGTTTAAAGTTGTGATTAAACAAACATATGAATGAACTCAAATGTCAGAATGAAATTGGATTCCACGTTTTTTTTCTTCATTACCGTGAAAATTAAAAAGTCATCTAGGATAACTTTAAGCAATATATTTTTTCATTTATTTGACATATTTCTTCGTTTTTTCGAACATTTAGATTGATCTATGCGAAAATTTTAAAAGTGTTCCTGTTTTTTTTGTCTTTATTTGAAGTGTACAAAAATTATTCTTAAGTTTTCTTATGCATTAAAAACGATTTTTAATATGATTGAGTGAATTGATTGAATCGAGTGTATGTCATTTTTAAAAAAAAAAGAAAAACGTGAACAGAATATCTGTCCAATCAAGATTGCAGAATAAACACATCATAAATTCCCAAAACTAAAAGTGCCAAAGTACATTTACATGTAAACAAATATTGAGAAATTGTAAACCAAAAAAATGGTCGAAGTCGACAACAAGGACAATTTTTTTTACCTTTCTAATATATCCATTATTTTACTAAAACCCACCTTAATCAAACTAAGTATATCAAATTTGAATTAGAATTGAATCAAGTTTTTGAAGTAAATAATAGAATACGAAATATATCGAGTATCATAGTTCAGTATTTCTTGATGAAAATGAAATTTAAAAAATCAATTCATCCTTGAGGAGCAATATAGAATAAAAAAAATAACGCAGAATTTTGTCCTTGAAATGCATAGGCAAGTCAAATAAATTCAAGTTTAATGAATACTATTTTCGAAAAAAGTATCTTTTGATTATTTATAACATTGAAACATATGAAAATCTGTGTTTTTTTTCAATAAGGAATTATTTACAAAGGTTCCTTAGATTTATAAATCTACTGTAAACATTTCTTGTTTTTCTCTTTTCGTTGATATTCGATAATAATCTTTTGTTATTATCTTTTCTAGTCACTTTATTTCAAGTGCCTCAATATGAGCATTTACAAATTCTTATTTGTAATGGTAATTCGTTGACAACATTAGCTGGCGTTGAATATATAAAACATTTATGGAAACTTGATGTTGGAAATAATCAAGTATAGAACATTTGAATCGAAAGAAAACAGCGTTTTCTTTAAATTTCGTTCCTTTCTTGTGTTTGTTTAGATTCGTAGTCTTCAGCATTTATCACGTTTTATAGCACTTGGTTCACTTATTCTTTCAAATAATAATATAACATGGATTGAATTACAACATATTCGTCATATGTTTATTCTTGATTTAAGACTTGATGGAAATCCTAGTCTTGATGCTGATCCAAACTGTAAAAAAAAGAAACAAAATATTGTCCTTAAAAACAATTGTCTCATTCATTTATATAGATCGTCAACATGTACTAGATTGTTTACCACGAATTTGGATGTGTGATGGAATTTTTGTTTCAAGTAAATTTTGTCGATTAAAGCAAACAAATATTGATGTTTTCGATTTTAATTTAGCTGCAGAACGAAATCAAGTAGATGAATTTTTTACACAATCATCATTAACACAAAAACCTGTTGTAAGATATATTACATATGAATGAAAACTTGCGAATTTGAATCTTTTTCGTTTTAGCGACGAAAATTGGCACGTGATATATTTATGCCAACAAATTTAAAAGATCGTTCAATTAATGGACTTTTTGGAGCAAAAGTAAAAATAATATTTAAATAAATTATTGAAAATAATTTTACTATTTCTGTTTGCTTTCATAGGCAACTGAATTATTTGCTAGATTTCCGATGAACTGTTTTGTTAATTCAGGTAGAAAGAAATTATAAATAATTTGAATAAAATTTTTTTTTTTTGTTCGATATAGAACTTGATAGAAAACGAATAAAACATTTAGCTTATACTATTCAAGATTTATTACTTACTGAAATGAAATACGATGATGAAAAGTATGAAAATATTTAACTAAGAAACAGATATTTGAATATATACTTTTAATTAGAAGACATGATGAATTTCTCACAGAAAATCGTCATATGCTTCTTCAAATGATCGATCTCCGACAAACACATATCGAAGAATTTAATATGCTTCTTATTTTACTTATTGTAAGTAACACATAATTGCATAATTGAATCAATTGGGCAAAAGGGAAAAATACCGAAATTAGAAAAATATTGAAATTCAACGTGACATAGATACTCTTGGTGAACTATATTAAGATGAGCTTATCAATGAAATAGAAGGCTTATATAGTTTTTCGTCAACAGTTGCTGAATTGAAAAAATGACTATAATAGTTCTTTCTTTTTTTTATCTGTTCACTTGTGTATGATCATAGAAGATAGTGTTACAAGATTCGGATAGACCAAAGTTCACCCTAGATTCCCACTTTGTAGACTACAGTACGCTCAAATACTTAACTCCTTCCATCAAATAGATAGATTTGAGCAGTGCATGACATATTTTGTACAAAGCTAATATTTTTCTTAACCAAGCAGACTTAGAAAACGACTTTCAGGAAACAATAAATTTTATACAAGTAAGTAGTAAATCATACCTCGACAATGACATATGAAATGGAAATTCTTTATCACAAGTGAACAAAAATTATAACAAAAATTTGCATCAGATTAACTGGAGTCTTGGAAAATTTCCCTTCGATCGCAGCGATTAAGATCACATGCCCATTAAATATTTTTCACAGCAAAAAAGTCTGTAATACAGTACCTATTTTCGTGCAACATTTCAACTTCACCATAAAACTTTTTTCCAATCAAGTCGATCAAAATCTCTACTTTTCAAAGGTCATATGCCTTTTTATGCAAATTAAGAATTTGTTTTGATCTGCACTGCAGCTACACATTGCAAAAAGCGAATTCAATAAAAGAAACATTAACTGTATTTCATCTGAGTACAATTCGAAAATTCGTCTTCTCTCATATTTAACTTCTACATAAGAATCCTATGAAAAATGTTCCACAGACTATATCTATGATCTAGATTACAATCTTAGTATTATGTCAACAATAAAGAATGTCTTGTTAGTTGAAATTTTCGATATTTTTTCTTTCAGTCTTTGCAGAGTACCACATTGTACTAAAATTTTAATGTTTATTTTTTATTATTTTCAACAGACTGATATTCTTTTTCAACTTCCTGGTGAATTATTACATAATGTTTTAGATGTTACTCATATAAAAATTATTGGGTATTTAAAGAATTTTATTAAATAAATATTCTTATGAATTTATATTTATTTAGAAATTTAAATATTCCTAATATATTTTCATCAAGTGAACAATTAAAATGTATGATTGCATCCCTTGTTCATGCAGGTGCACGACTTGATCGAGATGAAAATCATGTAAATTATCATTTTTTTTTCTGCAAATCAAAATCTTGTATATTTTTCGTCTAGCCATCAGCATTTTATGATAAACTTTTTAATAGTCTATCAGTTGTTCTTACACATCAAGTAAGACAATTATCTTCTTCAAATACACAGTCAGTTCATCCAAATCCTGGATTGTAAAGAACAAACAAGAAATAAATTGAAAATATATATAATTTCTTTCTATTAAAATCTTTAGAATTTCGGAAGCAAAATCAATGATTTGTCTTGAGGTTATGCAAGTATTAATTATGTGTCCATCATTTTATACACTTATTGATAACACAAGTATGTTTAAAAAACAAAAACAATTCAATTCGAGAAGATTAAGCTTATTCTTTTTTTCTTCTGTTAGGTGTTAATGCTATTTTAAAACAAGCATTATATCGGTCACCAGCATATGGAAGTATTAAAGATGTATTAGAAAGTTTTAATGCTGATCAAGTAAGAAAATCGAAGTCAATATGAATCAATGAATATTTCTTTTTTTTTAAATAAATAGAAAACAGGTGAAGAACAAAAAGAGTTATTAAGTTCAATTATTGGTAATATATTAAAGATGGCTATTCGAACATTATCAACTAAACGAATAAAAAAAATTAATGAACCATTACCAGCAGTTTATGTAATATTTTGAAATTTAAAAAAAAACGATTTATTCTTCCAATAATATCTTAATATATTCCATTGATTAGGATACGACAACGCCAGAAATTGAAAACTCAAATAGACGATTACAAGAACAAACTATATCATCACCGAAATCTTCACAACGTACAAATGTTAATCGTGTACCGGGTAAATTTTTATCGATGAAATTAATCTAGCTTTGAAAATATATTATGGAGATATATATGCACAAGTTTGAATGATAGAGATAATCAGTTGTATTTTTGAATCAATTCATCTATGACAAATACGTTTGAGTTACAAAACGAATATTTCTGTACCATTAAAAATCTACTGTCTAAGTCTTATATTATAACATGTATCGAGTGATCTAGATTTGAAATAAATGAAAAGAACTAGAGAAAATGTAAAAGAATTTTAATACTAATAAGTAGTATCCTGCACAAATACGGTTGTTCGCAACCGGACTTGAATTAAAACTAATCGACATCTGGTAGATAATTTTACAACCGTTGTACAGTTTTCAAACTTTAGTTTCATGTGAAAAAATATACTATTTGGTTTCTTTCATAAACAACAGCAAAAGAAAAGAAATCATCTCAAATTCTGCAAAACTGCAAGTCATTCAGGATTCACTTGATGTCTTTTTACTTCTAAAATTCGATCAATGTCACTACGTATATGTTCGCTTGAGACTGAAATGAAATTCAGTGTTTAGGACAAACGTCATGATTGTGGATACATACCTGAATGTTTATTGATCACATTAATATACGTTCATCTTTTCAATAATTCACTGTCTTCTTCATGTATTGTATTCAGTTACTTTGTTATATGGCTCATCATCATCTGTAGATGAGTTTTTATCTAGAATGAATGCTTTTAGTAAAATAATATCATTTTCTACTTCTATGCTTTTATATAGATTAGCAGTTTGAAACAGTAAAAAGTGTTTCAAAACGTCGAGATCTCATTAGTTGACGGATCAAGTGCCACTTACTTAGCGCGATTGCAGGACACTATTAATAATTAGCTCCTGTTTGAAGAACAATAGGATATTTTAGGAAGTTGAATTACTCATCAGGAACGCGTTAACTTAATATGAGAGATTAATAATTGAGTAAAATATTCAAATGTTATCTTCGAATTTTTTAATATCGTTTCATTAAGAAAGTATCTTGAATAAAAAAATAGAAAATGGTTTTGTATTTCTCTTACTCTTCTTTTCTCTTTTTTCATAATAATCAAAAAAAAATACGATTTAGCTAATATTTCTTCTTACAAAATCAAAGAAAAAGTCATTTGCTTATTATTCAGCTATTGGTGATCGTATATTAACTGCTCCACAAAGTTTTGGTCGTATTGTAACATTACCCGATGCAGAAATTGCAATGATTCAACTTGATCATGTTCTTGCTCATAATGGTGCGATGATTAGTAGTGGTTCAGCAAATGAACATACTACTTATGTTAATATGAATAATTTTGAATGGGATCCTTCACATGAATATTGGAAACCAAAATTTGCATCTGGTGATAAAATAACATTACAAATGACAACAATACGAAGTGAAACACCTCGATTAGTTTCTCCTCTATCAACTCCACCTCCACCAAGAACAATAGCATCAAAAGTAAGTACTTAGATAATTAACTTATAATTATATAATATATTTTCTTTCTTTTTGTATCAATTAGACACCAGAACCTATTGAAAAAGGACGTGTTACACCAAAACTTTTTGATATGAGTAAGTTTTGTTAATTTTCTTTCAATTCGATTCAATACATTGTCTTTTTTCTATTTAATATAGATCTTAATAAATCAAAGTATATTGCATTTAATCTTTCTTTTTTATTTGTGCAAATATTTATTATTTTTTCAAAATCTAGAGAAGCATTTGTTGATGCACCACGTGAAACAATTCCTTCTCCATTAGTTCCTATTATTCATCAAGAAACAATTCGTCATTCTCAAGAAGTATCAAAATGTTCTCCACGAGCTCCTTCTAATAATCAAGACACTATTCATCATTCTCAAGAAATATCAAATTCTTCTCCACCAAGTTCTCCAATAACTGAACGTAAAGTGGTTATACCAGAAGAGTAGATAAACTTATCTTATTTTATTCATTTATATCTGTGAATTCTTTTTTCTTTTATTTCGAAGAATGCCAATGGAACGTCCAATGTCTGTTCGTATAATAAAACAAAAACAAGAACAAGTAAAGACTTCTGTCAATGGTGAAACTGTTTCTACATCACCAGTTCTTATTGAATCAATGCTTTTACTTATGCCTAATCAACCTCATGTACCCATTGTATCATTTGAACAAACACAACGACAAGCAAATTCATTAACTATCAATGGTTATGAACCATCACGTAACATGTCAATGCTTAACCATTCATCAACTGTTCCTTTAACACCAACTAATGGTCGACGATCAGCAACACATCGTGCTCATGTACCAGTACACAATGCTTCACAATGGTTTAATGGACCTGATATGCAAAATGAACGGACAGGTCGTATGGAAAAAGTTGTTGCTTCACTTGTACGGCGATCATTTCGACCATTTGCTACTTATGCGTATGTTATAGGATATTCGTTCATAGTTTTATTTGATTAATCTTTTTTTTTAAGCATGCCACGTGCACCAACATTAACATCACCATCATCAAGAGATCATGCTCAATATAAAGGTAATGATTTTGTTTCTCTTTTTTTCTGATATTTCGCATTTAATTAACTATATATTATCTTAGGAGTTCGACCAGAAAGTTTTCAAGATTTTTGTATTGAAAGCCATCGAATGACAACAACACCATTAAGTTTTGTTCGACAATCTCAATCACCTAAAGGACGCTAGTAAGTTTTCTTTTTTCTTTTTTAAATAAATAAATAAAAAATTATGTATTTATTTCCTAGTACATCATCAATACGTTTGCATGATTTTAGTCGTACGAGCAATTCTAATCATAATGTACATCGTGCTAAATCATTGATTAATCCACCGTGTCCAACACCTTGGATGTAATAGAATTTATGTGTCTTAATTGATTTGTGAATAAAGAATTTTCTAACAACTAACTTTTAATGAAATGTATACTTTTTTCATTTTGTTTTCTGTTTTTTTTTAATTATTATATAATGGATTTAATCCATCTATATCCTTCTCATTATGTACCATTTTTGCAATTTTCTTTTCTAAGAATGAAACGAAAAAACAGAAATTACTACTGACGCATTTTTTTTGCCAGTGAAATATTTTTTTATTTATAAATTCATTTTCTATTATGATCTAAACAATAAATTATGTTCTAAGAAAAACTATATTATGAAATTGACATGTTAACAACATAATTTACTTCTTTCTTACGAAAGACGTCGTCATCATCATGTGGTTTTTACTTCCCTCATATTTCGCAATAGGTTTATTCCTACAAGTATCATTGCAATGGGAATTTAGAGTTGGAGAGGTCGCTTTTTTTGGAAACTATATAAACACGATCATATGTATATCATTCATAAATTAGTATCAAGAATATATAATCCTACAGTCTACAATGCCTTCATCGAATATCTCAATTAAATGTAAATGTTCTTCTGAATTAAAATCAACTAATGCTTATCAATGTTCTCATTGTTTAACTTGGTTTTGTTATCAATGTTTAATCGAACATCATCATAATGATGTTAAAATTGAATTTATGGATATGATAAATCAAATTGATAAAATTCTTGATCAATTTTTATATCATGCACATAGTCAAACTGAATGGACTAATCATTTAACAGAAGATCAAAATCGATTAAAAATATATATTAAATATATAGAAGCTAATTATAAACATCTTCCAATTCTTGCACTACCTGATATTCAATGGATAAATCATGTTCAAAATCTTATTAATAAAAAGTCAAATGCTATCTATGAAAATTGTTCTACATTATTATACCCATTAAGTTCTTTTATTAAACCATAAAATAAATATAGATATACATATATACTTATCAATTGATATAATTAAAAATAGGTTCATTAACCATTGAATGTTTCATACCTACTTCATATGAACCACAATAACCATTAAGTATTGGTGCTGCTGGAATACCACGTCTATTAAAACAAAATTAATCAAAATGTAAATGAGAAATTTTTTTTGTCATTGTATCGAAGTTTTATCGATATTTTTTTTGTTAGGTAAAATTAAACAGAGTTTTTAAAAGTTTTATAAATAAAAAACATCGAATAAGATGAAAATAAATAACTCATGTTATATGTAGATATGTTAACTTGTTTCACTGTGGTTGAAGTCTAGTTAAATTTACGAGGTTGAAGACTGCTAATGTTCTTAATTGAAATCTAGTTTACGTTCGAAAGCTTCGACCAAAACAAAAAAAAAAGAAAAAACCTTTCAAGCTTATACTTTTTGAATACTATTATTCATCAATAGGCATTTGTCTTCGAACTAAACGTACTTCACAAATACTCTGTAAAGTATGAATACGTTACATTATTAAGCTTTGTTATGTTCCAAGCAAAGAATAATGCAGGATTTTATTTTAGTCTATGTATACCCTTGGGTAAAATAATAACCGTCTTATCTTGAACTTTAATACTCAAAAATTAACATATTATTTTGCATGGTCATAAAAAACTGTTGAATATCAGTTTCCAATGTCGATACATAAGAAGTCATTGATGTATAGATTACACTATGAATAAATGTAAATGAATACTTTTTTCAACTTAAAATAAAAGTTTATTCGTACATTCTCTTTGAGGTGGAAATGTGGAACTCACATATCCCATGAAAGCTAGCATATCATCTAGTATAAACTTTTTATGTAAAGAGATAAAATTTAGAGTTTGTGACAAGTGAAGTGAAACAATCAAAGGTTTACACAATGAAAGGCTTATTTGTTTATAAATAATAATCAACATTATTGACAATATATCTAAATTTCTTTTTTTTTAAAATCATTTTCGATCTGATTAAACTATCATGGTTTCATATTGCTTTTATAATATGATAAAGAAAAACAAAATCTAAACGACAACAGTCAAAGCAATTATAGATAGTTACTAAAGTACTAACTACGATAAAAAAAAAGCATTGCCTCATTATTACTATATAGTGCACATATCTTTGTTTGCTTCATTTTTTGATCTTAAAATTGCAAGCGATGTTATTTGCTGTGAAAATCTCTTATTTTTACTTGTAACTACAATTGAAAGCAGTGTTTAAATGATTGATATATATCTGTGGTTACTATTGAAACATATTCAATGTCATTTAATCCCTTTTGCTAAGACCTATAACAGAGAACTACAAAACCTTGATTTAAAATTTATACTCACTATTTTCTTCGAAAATATATGTAAATTTCACAAAATAATTACGCCATGTTTTCTTAATGCCAACTAGAATTAGGGTTTCGTTTTTTAAAAGAAAGAAAATCTTTTTTGTAGTGTTGTCCGTAACTAACAACGAGTTCTGTTTCAGTTTAATTTTTTCTTGTCGAACATATTATGTATCAATCGATTATTTTCTAACCTAAGCATTCGACATCGATGAACATCAAGTCGAAATTGAGCATCTTCTGGATTATTTACATCAATTGAACTCCATAATCGTTCAGCAACAGCTGATACACGAGGCCATAGACGAGATAAACTATTAGTACCATCAACAAATTCTGCCCACAGCGCAGCTTCACCACCAATTAATCGTTTTCGAGCACTATTATCACCTTGAAATAAAATAAATATTTGTCGTTTATTATTATAAAATACAAATTTATTTTTCTACCAGTAAAATTTGCAAATAAATCAATATTGTACCATTTAAAAAATTCCAAATTCATTACCGATTCAGGTGTATTATATTTACCATAGTTAATCCTAATCAAACATTTAAATTTTATTAAAACAAAAAATCTTTTTTATTTCTTTACATATTTAAATAAAATGGAGCAGCAAGAACAGCATCATATCCTTCACTTGTAGCTTTTGATAAATAATAAGACCATGATGGACTATCAGACAGAAGTGAAGTATCTTTCCATATTTCAATAACAGTATCAGATGGTAATTTAACACCATCATCCCATACATCTTGCCATACCATTGATTTACCACCAATTGATTTCATTAATTTAAGAATTTGTCTTGAATAATAAGTCATTAGATCTGTTCCATTAAACATATCATTTTCTTTTAGAAATTTTTGAATATTAGGATTTGACATCCTTCAATGTATTGAAAAAACAAAAGAAATTTTTTTTAAATTTTATTAAAATATCCTACCAACAAGCTGGATAAACTTCATCCATACCAAGATGTATATATGATTCATATTTAAAAGTATATTTTACTTCTTTTAAAAATTCATTCATAAATCTATAAACTTCCTTTTTTGTTGGGTCAAGTATTTCTCGTTCAGCATGTACACCATAAATAGCTTGACATGGTATCGAACCATTATAACAATCAGTTAAAAATTCTATAGTAGCTGTAAAATAATTAAGCAAATTCTACAATATGAATACAAACCAGGAAATGCACGTCCAAGAGCAGCAACATGACCTGGTGTGTCAAATTCAGGTATAATACGAATGCCACGAATACGTGCATGTTCAATAATATCTTGAACATCATCAGGTGTATAAACATGAGCAGATGAAAATGCACCCTAAAAATATATATATGAAAATATTCAAAAAACAAAAATCATGTTAAACTTTTTCAGCTAATTGTGGAAATTTCCGTGAAACAAATGGCCATGATTGATCATCAGTTATATGCCAATGTAAAACATTAAATTTATTGTAAACCATTGCATCCTATAGAGAAAATATATCTAGATTTGACTATATGATTATGATGAAATTTAAATACTAAATGTTGTTTAATTATTGGAACAGGTAGAAAATGACGAGCTGTATCCAAAAGAATACCACGATATGGAAAACGAGGCCAATCATAAATATATATTGAAGCATTTGTTACTAACTAAAAAAAAAAAAACAAATTCAAATATTTATTTAATTTTGTTAATCGACAAACTTCTTACATAATTATCTTCATTAATAAAAAGCAATTGTGAAAATGTTTCAAGACCATTAAGTGCACCCCAAACATTTTCAGCGAAAATAATTCCATACGAATTTTCAATTGTAAGTCTATCTACATTAATAATTCGATTTATTACAATGAAAAAAATGTCGAAAGAAGGAAAAATTACTTACAAGATTGATTATCACGAAGTTGTGGATACACTTGACATTTTTTTGATTGTACAAGAATAAAAACTGATAGAAGAATTCGACTTTCATCAAATCTATGTGGAGTTTGAATTGATAATTTTGGTGGAAAAAATATTGGTTTATAACGTTCAATAGCTTTATCAATAATATCACAATTTCTTAGATTTGAATAGACAATAAAAAATTCTGGATCAATATAAATATAGTCCGAACTAGCATTTAAATATTGAGGTTGTGGCCATGGCGCATTTGGTGCTGACGGTTTACCCTAAAATCAAATCGTAATACATATAAAATTATTATCACAAATTAACTTAAAAAACAAGTTTGTTTAATCAATGAATTGAATTCTTTATCCTCTAACATCTCTATTTGTTTAAATATTTCATATATTTTATTATTTCTTGTGTATATTTATTAATTCATAAATACAATAAAATTTCTTGATTATGAAAAAATATTAAACTTACTCTTAATGGATATTTTGCTTCAATATAATCAATTACTGAATAAACATGATTTATACAAATGATAAAAGTCAGTACATATACAAAAAGACGTAATGCGTGCGACATGATTGTAAACAGAATGAAAGTGTTTTATTTGATTTTATCGAGATTATATACATACAAAACATTCGATTTTGTTCATTTGGACTAGACTTATATGTTTCTTAGAAACAAAAGTACAAACGAACGGAAAAAAGAAACTTCTCTATTTCAGAATTGAGATAAGATGTTTTTATTAATCTTACATCAGTTGTTA